CTCAATAAAGATCGAAACGTTGGCACGATAAATAAAATGTTTTTCTGAAACCTACGTCACACCAGACCGCATCTCACGATCTCCGAATAATCATTATTATATCCTATCATTTTTATCCCTCGATCCTAAGGTTGGCATTTTCTAAGATTGTCCCCTATTTTATTTTATTTATTAAATTAACCACAATGGTGAAAAATAATTTTTCTATCATTGTTTTTAGTATTTTGATATGTGAATTGTTGTTTTTATATGTTAATTATTTATAAGCAAGGATTTATAAATATCTAAATAAGTACTTGAAAAAGAAATTGTAAACTAACACAGGTGTAGACAATATTATGTACTATCAATTCGACTATGGTTATGTTTTTTTATGTTTATAAATTGAACGGAAGCTTTACATGATGTGGAGAATTTCTATGTTTCTGTGACCTAACACCTGATTAATACACACCCCAATGAACCAATCCATCTCTTAACAAAATTTTTTTCTCAGTTAAATTTACCTTAATAACTACTTCTTTAATAGATTAGGAATGCAAAATAAAGTCACCTTATGCTGGGTCATGTGGGAAAAGTGGGCAAAGAGGGAGCGGACGAAACGAAAGGGGCTGCTACACCTGTGATAAATCCGGAGGCCTTCTGTGGCATAGGATTACACACTATCCATGAACACTTCAGAAAGAAGGATAAAAAGAAATGAGGGAACAATGGAACCTATTCATTGAGCACAAACTATCCAAGGGCCTCTTAACTAACTTGGGAAGGAAAGAGGTAACAGAATGTATTAAACGGAGCAGGAAAAAATTGCTTGCCCTAACGGGATTCCTAACAAAACCCTAGAGACTAAATGGGCATTTGTTATAACCCAACAAGGCACGTGCAGATTCTGTAAAGTAGCAGAGGAGAAAATAAGTACATCTACTAACAAACTGTGGTGCTACAATTGCCCGCAGGAAGAAGTGTTTTGGGACATATGTCGTACTGTAGAAGAGATTCACTGAAACAGGGCCTGCTAATCAAGTTCCTTGATGAACTAGGACTTTAAGCACAGAACGGGGAATATAATAGCTCTTTAAGGACGCAGTATAATACGCACCTCGACTAATACATCTATTTATCTACTATTATTTCTTCGATTCGGCTAATTTTAACTTTTAATTGCTTAAATTAAAAGAAAGATTTTCATAAAAAATAAAATAAAGTTTCCCTAGTCGCTTTACCAACGAGAGAAACATGCGAAATCAATTTTTGACGTTATCAACTCAAAGTAAATTTAAGTGTCTTAACTTGGCTAAGGCACAGACGTACATGCAATTACCAAAGTTATGAAGACATATTTCTAGTGCTGGATATCCAGGAAATCATCAATTAACCACCCTCAAGGCAAAACTGGATTAGCCGAATTTCAGCCAAATGAAGTAAGTGCATATTCCGGTAAGTCTTTAGGCCTGACAGACTGTGTATAATCGATTAAGTCGAAACGTGATGTGCCTTTTTAAACACCTCGAAACACCGAAAATTTTGGTCGTTCCAAAGGTCTAAACTTTAAAATCTCAATCTTGATAAGTACAGTTTTTTACTTACCCGGGTTCACCTCGAGGGTGCGGAATTATACTTGGTAAATATTAAAGAACTACGACAGAAGTGAACAGGACCAATGCGAATCATATCATTTAGAAAATCCATACCCACCAACATTCTATTTATATATACTACCAATATTGTCTCACCGAATTCTAGCTAATTAATATTTTTATCGTAGTAAGTTTGTCTGCCATGCCTATTGTAAGAACAAACTGATAGCGTTTTCATCTTGATTTTCATTGATTTTTATTAATAATTTTTAGTGTAATAATGAATAGTAAAAATCTACATTAATTAAAGGAAATTATTCTTAATAAAGAATTACCATTAAATTATTTTTACTGCTTTTTTATAAGTTTTTTATGAAATAGTTCGTTCACATAATCAGGTAATATTGTATAAATAAACAGAGTTTGCGTCAATAAAACTGCTGTGTAGTTAATCGGGAGGAATGAAAGTTTCCAGTGCTGGGTGATAAAGCCAACCAGTGGGATTTTTTGCTGTTTTTTGTAACTTGAAAAGCTATCGCCCGGAACCAACTCTAACAAAATACATTCAACTTAACATCGACCAGCCGGTCTGCAGAATCTGGGAGTTTAATTAGCCGACAGTTTCCTTTCCGCCACGGCTTGTACGTAATCGATGCTCTTTTTCTCATCATCTACATTTGGTTTTGTTTTAAAACAATAGTATAATAATAAGAAAAAGGGTTTTACCTCTATTCTTGATGCCCGATGCTTCCCGGAACACGATTTCCGATCTGTCTTCCCTCTTCCATGTTATGTCCGGTGTCGGATATCCGCTCGCTTTGCAAACAAGTGTGACTGATCCACCTTCCGGGACCATGACGTCGTCTGAGCTTTCCTCGTCGATTATATCAGGCGGCACTACCACGTCGAGAAAACCCATCTGGAAAAAACCAAACATGAGCAGCCAAAAACAATCTTTTCTAAATGAAATAAATAGAAAATTTTTATTTGACTTTTATATATTATTGTAACACTTAAGAAAGGTGTTTACGTTACACATTATCACTAGAATGCAGGTCCATCTGTGCGTAGGCTTTTGTTTATCAAAAACTCTACAGTCCGGTCTTGATTTCGTATACAATTTGAGAAATTGTGTAATTTAAGAAAGAAAATATCATATATTTATTTTTGCAGTTCTTCTCTTTCGGATCGTAACTGTCTCTGTAGATTTTAGACAGCCCCTCAAAAACAAAAACGATAAAAATTTGAAAAATGTTTTTGCAATTGCAAAGACAATCAAAAAAGGCTTTTATCTTTTAAACGACTGTTAAATGACATGCTGATCTATATGACAATAATATGATGATTATATTTTTTAGAAAAATTAATAGAAAATGCTATCATTCATGTCTTAAATCCCTAGTTCTTTATTTCACATTAGAAATGATCATTTGTTCTGTCTTTCTCAATCTTCTTAAACTCTCTCTTACTCTCTCTCTCTCTCTCTCTCTCTCTCTCTCTCTCTCTCTCTTCTGCTATGTTCTTGTCTGACTTTCTTTTTTCTCTTTCGATCTCTTTCTCTTGCATCTTNCTTTCTCCCTCCCCCTCTCTAAGAGTAAAAATGTAAATAAAATCTTTACAATTGTAGCAGAACGGAGTAAAAATCATGGATTAAAATTGAATCCATACAAGTGATCATGCATAATATTAGGAAAAGTTCAACTCATTAACAAAATAAATAAAATTAGTTTTTGATAGAGTAGAACTAAAAATTCAGAATCGCGTAAAAAAATCTTCCTATGCACTGTTCATCAAATTTAGATTGGCAGAAACAAATTGATGTCATTAAGGAAAAACTATATACATGTATTTATATCGTAAATAACTTGTTAAAATATAAAAATATTAACCAAAAATCAATGGCATGAGCGGGATTCGAACCCACGATCTTCGGCTATATACGCCGCTGCTCTACCACTTGACCTGTCGTGACCTCGATCCACTTTATCTCAACTAAAAACCTTAATTAATTGTAATATATTAATTGGGCAAGCGGACCACGAAATTAGTGAATTTAATGATTTAAAATGAAGTATACTTCACTAAAGCTCTCCGTAGCCAATTCATTCGTCGCCGAGAATCCAATCCGATTACACGACATTTGAAAAATGGCAAAAAGGAGGTAAAACTCAAAAGGTGGGGTTGAGATAGGAAGTTTATGTCCGAGTGGATCGAGGTCACGATAGCTCAAGTGGTAGAGCAGCGGCGTATCTAGCCGAAGATCGTGGGTTCGAATCCCGCTCGTGCCATTGACTTTTTTATCTCAACTAAAAACCTTAATTAATCGTAATATATTAATTGGCCAAGCGGACCACGAAATTAGTGAATTTATACAAGACCATATCTCACGTACTTTTTTATAAATTATGTCCAATACAAATTATAACCATACAATAATTTGATAACAATTATTAAAAATTTGTCTAACCTAAAGGATGATGACCGTTTGTATGGTAAATTTAAAGTACATGGTATTTTAAAAATCGAAGATCTTTTAAAAATTAGTGCTTGTAACTTTCATACAAAAACCGAAACAATAATGATCCAAGAACCATAATTTTTAGCTAATCAAATCATATTCCCTAATATTTTCCATGATATAAATGTAAGATCTTCTAATAATATAATTACAAAAGGCATAGAACAAACCCTTACTGAAATTTGTTTATTAGAAAAAGTACAGTATTTAAAGTAATGTACAAAAATTACTTAATGGATGAATATTTATAATTAAAATAAACTTTTGTAAATAAAAGTAAAAAAATTTACTGCAACGTTCATTTCAAAAAAGTAATATGAATTAATAAAAATGTAATTGTTTTGTTTTGTAATCATCGTATATTCCTATTTATATAAATAAAAATTGTCTTATAAACTTACTTTTGATTTTCTTTTATTATATTTTGTTTTTGCTTTATTATTAATTACTTATCTTGTAAATTTATGCCCTATAAATTTATAAAGTTATAAAAAAATTACGTTCAAATTTTTAGAAAAAAAATTAAAATTTTTGAACGACCAAAGGAGTGTAAATTATAATACATGTTTAATGTAAACTGTACAACTCACGTTATGTGACAAAACGATCCAAGAGACCTAAGTATGCATGAAAAAATGTAACCATTAATCAATCTGTCTATTGCCTTTCTTTTTCCCTCTGTCCCTTTCTCTCTCTCACTCTCTCTCTCTCTCCCTCTCTCTCTCTCTCTTGCCATCTTCCTGCCTACGTCATTCTGTTTTTTCTCTCTCTCTCACTTTCTCTCTATCTTCCTGTCTTTTGTCTTTCTTTTTCATTTCCTTTCTCTCTTTTTCTCCGTTTGTCAGTTTCTCTCTTTTGCGCTCTTATTTGTTTTCTCTTTCGTTCACTTTTGATCTTTGTTGGGGTTTTTCTTCAAAATTTAGTACTTAAAAATTAGTTTAAAACAGTCTGCTATATACGGTTTTCTTTCCTTTTGAACGGAGTCTTGTAACAATTTCGTTCAAATTGATCAATTTTTTATTTTTTGGAACAAGGTATATAATACCAGAGCATCAACAACGGGTATGCTTCGCTGATTGGTTGAAGCGCCGAACACTTCGGGGATTGATTCAACCGCAGTCAGTTTTCTCGGATTTTTCATGAGATCGGAGGTTTTTTTTGGTCGAAAGAAATTTGTGGATTTGAGCCATCAACTTGGAGTCATCGCTTTCTCAATCCTCAGTTTTGTCGACTTGGCATCATTCCTTTTTTTCAACGCCTGTGAGCCATTTCGTTGTTTTGTTAATGAATATGTTTGGTTATTTATTTCTTGTTTAACAAAAATTGGAATAAAACGAGGAGTCAAAATGGAAAGTTTGTGGCATGGACGATCGAAGTCACGGTAGCTCAAATGGCAGAGCAGCGGCGCATTTAGTCGAAGGACATGGGTACGAATCCCGCTCGTGACACTGCCTTCTTTATCTCAACCAAGACCTTTCATAAAAATAATAATTAATTGAAACAAGTTACTTCATAAATTCATAAATTTTATTTTGAGATCGTAAGATGTGGTCTGGTGTGACATAGGTTTAGAAAAATATTTTCTTTATCGTCCCAACGTTTCGATCTTTACTGAGATCATCTTCTGTGCCTGAGATTTATAAACATTCTTTAAATTCTACAGCATATAGGACGTGAAAAAATTAATTTATACAATGTTAGAAATTTTAGCTCAATCAAATTATTTGTACTTACTCAAAGCGTTTGTTTTTTGTGTAAATGAGTAATTCTTGTCTGTCGTGTTGAGAGTGCCATCGAGATATTGATGTAGGTTGGATTTTGAAGGGGTGTAGAAAGAAGTAGATAGGAAAACATTTTTATATGAGGAGTCGGCTTGTTTGAGATGAAAGAAGACGACAATGGGAAAAAATGGGTAATGGTTCGCCCTGATTATCCTTTCAGGATTTTGTAGAAGGAGATAATTAGGGAAAGGAAAGCCAAATTGTTGAAGAATAAGACTATGTAGAAATGTTTGATGTAAGAAATGTACAGATTGTTTTATATGTTATATTAACATATTCGAATATCGCCAATGACACAAATTTTTCATTTCGAAAGTTCTTTTTTTATAATTGTAATCAAAAGTCTTAATTTTTTCGTTCCTTTGCCATTATACTTCAGACGGGGAAGATCCTCAAAAAAGTATATTTTAATTTTGTTTGTTTTGTCAATAACACGACATAGTGGCGTCATGGATAAAAAGTAAAAAATATTATAAACTTTCTCGTTTTGTTTGTGCTTCGATTATATTTCTTTTCCCGCTGTTCTCATAATAATACAAAAACAAATCGTTCTGATAAATATGTTTATGTTTTTTTACACTAGTTTTTAAACAAGTATGGGATTCCAAGGGGTGTTTCTAATTGGTGGGAACACAAGGGTAGACGTTCTTCTGATCAAAATTGGAGAGGTAAAGCGGAGGTAATAGGAAAATTATGTTAGGGGTTTCGGTTCTTCGGTTACTCCTTTGGGAAAGAGTTGTTTGCGGACTGGACTTTGAAACAGTATCCATCAGCGGTGGGTGCGGCCGCAAGGGTTGGGCCAGAGACAAAGTTGCGGGGTAGCCTCTATTAATTAGGTGTCTTGGAGGCGGCTGATTAGGTTGGCCGCGGTGCCCCACGTCTAGGCCATCACTCCGCCTCCGGCCCGCAAAGTATTGAATTAGTTTACTGAGGTTAATACGTAAACCTTATCCCGGCAGAAAAGACGGTATGAACCGACGGAGAACGCAGACCAGACATTCCTGAACGTGCTTAGTGGAATTTCTTATTAATATCACGGATGTTGGATCCGCCACCCGTCGGAAATAGATTGCTTCGGATATTATCAAATGTCCTGCCATGACATATCTTTTATCGATAAATTTGTTATAAGTTTTTACTAGGAAGTTGCATTGAAAATAGACGCTTGACAGTTGATCGTTAACTACTAGAAACGTACTAGAAAGAAAGCTGTAAAAATTTAATTACAGACACATTAGTCAGCTACATAATGCACAGTTGTATAAAACTTTCCGTAAAATGGGTGTCGTGAATTAAGCCGTCAGGTTACGAAAAATGCTTATTTAACCTTGAGACCTACTTATTAAGACAATACCAAGGAATATTCAGAATCTTGTTTGAAATATTCTAGAATAAGGATTAGTCATATACTTCTTTTTTGCTTTTAGTTTTTCTTTTCACAATTTGTTCCAAAATTAATAGCAAATTGTGACCAAAACAAAAAATAAGTTATGCAGAATTCCAATTTAGAAATCGCTAACCAAGGAAATACAGCTACTAGGTCCTATTGTAGAAGGAAGGTTATTAAAACAAACAAAATCATTTCCTACTGAAATTCAAATTTAGTTGGATTTTTTGAAT